TTTTGGCCCCATCGGGGCACTGAGGGAAAAGGCATCAGGAAATCGGGGTGTTTTGGCCCCATCGGGGCACTGAGGGAAAAGGCATCAGGAAACCACTGTATTTTGGCCCCATCGGGGCACTGAGGGAAAAGGCATCAGGAAATCCAGCTTTTTGTCCCCATCACGGCACTGAGGGAAAAGGCATCAGGAAATCCAGCTTTTTGTCCCCATCACGGCACTGAGGGAAAAGGCATCAGGAAATCGGGGTGTTTTGGCCCCATTGGGGCACTGAGGGAAAAGGCATCAGGAAATCAGGGTATTTTCCCTGCTCAGCTGGCCACTCAGCAGTCATGCAGGGAGACTCGTCCTCCTGCCCCCTAGCTGCCTGGAGTGGCTAGCAAACAGGGAGGTGGGACGCTGGCAGAGCCAGGACGTATGAGTGGATGGGCCAGTTCCAGGGCCTGGGATGGGGATATTCATATTTGTTTATGAATACAAATATCTCCATCTTTAGTGAGAGTTCAAGGGGTATGCAAACTGAGGAGATGCTCACATTTCAAGAGTGATCTCATGCATCATCTTCTGACTCTGTTTTGACCATAAAAGTGATGGGATCTTCTTCCAGAAAGAGACATACTAACTCACAATACCTTCAAACTGCTATGGAAGAGGCAGTGCATCCTGCTTAGTACCTTAACAGCGCCATGCCACATTTGTTCTCAAGACTAAAATGGCCTTTTCCATCACCTTTTTCCCAGTACCAGATGATGCAAGTTGGCCCATTTCAGGGCCTATTTATGTACTTGCCAATGGCAGTCCCCCATGTCCACCAGCCTCACGGGCAGGAAACTTTGAAATTGAGGTCCAGGTCTGTGCCCACATAATAAAAAGTGAATGAATGAAATTGAAGTCACCAGAATTGAAACACTTGTACAGAATCTTGGTCTCAACGTTGCCAGAACTGAAGCATTTGTGCAGAGTCTCAGTCTTGAAGTTGTTCGAACTGAGGAGACCTTACAAGCCACCTCACTATGTTGGCCACATCCTCCTGGCTTTAGCATTAAAATAGCCTACACTGGATATATGTCCCTGCCCATCCTTTCAGTTTCAGCATTGAAACCAAAGAGACCTCCAAAGACATCCAAGTACACCAGCTGTTTCCAATTCAGATCAGACTTAGGATCTCTGGTACCAGAGGGCAGACAGTGGTACATGTTGACCTCTCAACAGTCCAAGTCTTCAGCACTGAAAACTAGAAGCAAGGAGGTATTGGCACCAAAGCCCACTGTACTAACCGGTTGACATTGGTGATGCTTCCCTTCAGCATTGAAGTCCTCAATACTGAAGGTGAGTAAGAGGTAATAGGAGAACACCTGGCATCAGGTTCCCCAACAACCAACAAAGCTTGCTCAAAACTTTGGAGATTTCAGGATTGATCTTTGGTCTTGACCACGGGTCCTGCTATAGTGATTGAAGCAAGCACAGGATCAAGTGGCAAACATCTACACCATGCCTTGAAATCTGATAGACCTCTAGGAGACTTATTTCCATATTGCCGTCCATTTTGACCACTGACGTTTCCTATGCTTTGCTCAGATTGACAATATTTATGAGTTCAATGTGCTCTGCTACACACTGAGAGAGAATTATCCCACTCCTCCTTAAAAGTATACTTGTTTGTATTTGTGGCATGTTAAACTTTGGTTCTGCAGAAATCCAGTCCTCAAAAGATTTTTCAAGATTCTGCAAAACATTTTTCTTGATGTCCAAGCCCCAATGCCACAGTGGTTACTTAGTACTTAGTTCTTAACCATTTCTTCAAGCTGCCATTTGAGCCCAAGGCAACTTGGGATCTCAGCCTGCTGACTTAGAAGACTGTGCTTCTGGTTACAGTTACTTCTGCATGGCAGGCTATGAGCTGTGCACCCTCCAACATGACCCACCTTCCCTGCAATTCCATAAGGACAAGGTGATAATATTTCCCAGTCTTTCTTTCCTGTCTAAAGAGGTCTAAAGACTTTCATCTAAATCACTTGGTGCTCACACTGTATTTTCCATCACACACCTCAAAACTGGAAAAGTTGCTGCACACCTTTTTTGCTACACATTCTAGATGTATGAAAGACCAAGAAACTCACTGTTCTTGGTCTTTCATAATCTAGAATGAGGCACTTACAAAAGCCCAATAAATTATTTGTAAGTTATCAAGAATAAAAGAAAGGTAAACATGTTACATTGCTGTGATTGTTAGCACCATCCTCTTTTCTTACCACATAACAAAAAACAAAAACAAAAAAAAACCCAAAAAAAACAAACAAACAGGGCTGACATCCTTAGAAGGGCATTCAATTAGAGCAGTTTCTGCATTCACAGTACTTCTCAAAGGAATTCAACTGGGGACTCTTGCCAGGTAGCGTCTTGTTTGCAGCCTCCAGCTTTTGTCAATCACTATAGGTTGGATGTCAGGGTAAAGCTTGATGCTGCATTTAGCACAGTAGTAATCTCTTCCTTGTTAGCATTACATCCTACCAGCCACTAAGTGAGTTTGTCAGTCATCCACATGTATGATTTGCAGAGACCACAAAGATGAATGGGTTCCTTACCTGTAACTATAGTGCTTTGAGTTTGTGAATTCACACAGCCCACCCATCCTCCCTTCAGTCTGCCACACAAGTGTTTTCCTCTATGAGCAGTGGACAGGAGAGCTGAGGATTATCCGTTGCATGGGGCAGGCAAGAGGATGTGAATGAACGTTATTTCTAGACTTTGGAATGTTCTGAAGATATTTGCACAGGCAAAAAAGAAACTCGCATGTGTTAATTCACAGATGAGCACTCAAAAAACTACAGTTACAAGTAAGCAGTGTGTTATTTTTTATTTTGGGATCTCAAGATTGAGATCTCAGACCACACTTCTGATTCATAATCCATTTCTTGGGCAAGTTATTAGTCTTTCACCCTTACCAGTTTACCTTCTGTAACAACAGCTGATTTGTGACTGGCAGATCTTTCAGTACTAGTCTCTTTTTTATGGCAGACAGAATACTCTGTAGAAATTCTGAATGAGCCCACCTGCCCAAAACATTCTGAAAAGCTGCTGTAAATAACCAGAAACCTTTAACAGTAAATATTATTTACAGAAAACTGCTATGAAGATAATAACTCTAAGTCACTGTGATGCAAAGTGAGCATTATCGAAGAATTAGATGAGTGTCTACTTACCTGTGAGGCCTATGAGGTTTACAGAAAAATTTTGGATTTTGTAAGCTGATCCTACATCCTCCCAAAAGAAATGAGTGACTTTTTCCTTGGAACACTGACAGCAGAGAACAGGGCTAGTCAGTGCTGAGAACTGGGGGAAAAGGCAAAATGACATGCTTAAAAAGGTACCATGGGTAGGGGAGTTATCAAAATATCTGCTGGTTTAAGACCAGAACTATCTCATGGTGACTCATGCTCCACAGAACTAGAAGCTGGAAGCTAAGCCTGGAAGTCTCAACAGGCATGGCCTGCCATGATCCATAATGATACAGTGGTGCCTCGCTTAACGATTTTAATTGGTGCAAAAAACCCCATCGCTATGGGAAAACATCGCTAAGCGAAACACGTTTCCCCATAGAAATGCATTGAAAACCGGATAATGCATTCCAATGGGAACGGATTGCCGTCCTTAAGCGAAAATCACCATAGGAAACATCACTAAGCGAAACGCGGTTCCACAATTGCAATGCATTGAAACCTATTCAATGCATTTCAATGGGGGGGAAAAATTACAACAAATTTAAAAAGAGTCAGAACAAAGGCAAATTAGTTTAACAAAAGGTTTATTAAGTGCACTTATGATTTCAAACATTCTAAGCATTTTTAAACATTCTTAAACATTTAAAAAACAGCCAACACAAGGCTGTCAAAAGCATCGTTAAGCAAAACAGGGGGACCCAAACTGTCATCGCTATGCGTAGCAAGGTCCCAAACATCGCTATGTGAAAATCGCCCATAGGAAACATCATTAAACGGAGCACAAGATCGCTCCGAAAACATCATCGCTAAGCAATTACATTGTTAAACGAGGCAATCGCTAAGCAAGGCACCACTGTATTGTACAAATTGATCAGTAATGATGAGGTACAATGTCACAGATTGTGGTTGCTTACAACTTACCTTCCATGCACCCACATTTTTCCTTGGTCTTTCAGGCCCAAATCCAGACGGGAAGGATGGAGTGCCTGGGACCAGCAAAGATGCCCCACGTTGTCCTGGTCCTGTATTGCCTTATGAAGTGCCCTTGCCTTAACTATATTGCTGGAGGAATCCTCCTGTGAGTTAACCTGTGCCTGTTTGTTGCTTACACCAGTAGCTGGCAGGATGGATTCAACAGTGGGGAATGGGGAGGGGAATTATCCTCTGGTACAGTGAGCATTTCGGGGGGGGGGGGCTGCTGATTGTTTTTCCTAGCATCACTGGCATTGATAATGGTAATCGTAATGAAAAATATGAAAACACGTTTGGAAAATAATCCTTCCATTTCATAGATTCTTTAGATGCACCAAGAAAAAGTGCTTCTTGACTGTGTGGGGCTGAGACCATAATGATTTTGAAAGGGATTACTTTGGTATTTAAATTTGGGCATCTCGACTGTTGTATAGCCATTTGCATTTCGATCCCCTCTCCTGGAGAAAATCATCACCTTTGTCTCACATAATTTGCATCTAGTGCATTAATTCCTGAATACTCTGAAATTTAACTAATACATAATTTAAGTCAGTACCTTTGAGAGATGCAATAAACTCACATAGTCAGCAAACAGCAGGACTGACTACTTCTGAGGTAAAAAATTAGGGGAATGAGATTATAGTATTCTAAGAAAACCAGGTAGGTGTGAACTGTTTAAATTGAGGGGCAAGAACACAAGCACGTTTAACTCCTTTGGTTGTTGGAACTGCTTTGGAAAAGCAGCCTGCTTGAGCACAGTGTACTTGGGTTGATAAACACTGATGCAATGCATTCATAAGATACAGAAATCATCTTTCCATTAATAAACTATTCGGTCATTTGGAGCATAACATGAAGTCAAATGTGGGTTTTAAATCAACAAAAGCAGTAAATGATTTCTCATCTTTTAGCAGTGAATACTTCTCAGCAAGATGGAACAAGGTCAGATAGTGATCACCTGATGAGTGTTATGGTTTGAATCCAATTTGTTTGTCCCTGGGTATGGTGGATTTGTAGATCCAGTCTTTCAGTTTAGGCACAAGTATGGAGGATGTAGCTTAGCACCACAGACAATAAAAACTCATCAGAAGATAGCCTGAAGGGCCTGAACTGCTTCCCTTGTTATATATGGGCACAATGATTGCCTCTGACCAGTTAAAAGGAATTTCCTCCAGTGTCATTGACTACTGTGAATCGTTCTGTCAGTAAGGAAATCTATCAATTGCCATTTTCCTTTATCTGATCAAAGGGATGTCACCTGGGCCAATGATCTTGCCAGCTGGCAGTCTAAATAACCATTCCCCAATTTCTTCCATCTGCACACAGTGGCATTTTATTAGTTCTGTGAGCATGGAGAATCCTAGTAGCATTTATTTGTTAGGGTAATTACATCTATCCAGGAAATACTGTTTGCAAAGATACAGTGTCATCAACTGAGCAAACTAGTGCTTCTGGCATGGTTTCCAAAGATTCTGATAGCTTTAGTTCATTTCTAGCAACGTTTGCCCTACGTCTCCTTCAGTGTTTATCGCTTTGAAGTTATCAGTTATTTATATTTCCTCTTCGAGGAGCAGCTAATCTGTTCCTCTTACGTTCCAGGTTTCTACTGGGCCAGTTAGTCACCTGCACGCCCATCAGCATACTACTGTTCAATTTTAACTGCTGACCTCTTTGTTCTCAAAAGTGATTAAATCTGATGGAAATTGTCTTCTTTGAAAACAAAAGAATTACAGTTATGTGAAAAAGAAAGTACACCATGTATTCTTTCATGGCTGGGATCCAATGGTTGTTGTGGGTTTTTCGGGCTGTTTGGCTGTATTCTTAAGGTTTTTCTTCCTAATGTTTTGCCAGTCTCTGTGGCTGGCATCTTCAGAGGACAGAAGTCAGAACTCTGTGCTCTGTTGCAGTTTGTTGGATAGTTGAGTACTGTATTTATAACTGTGGCAACAGCTTTTGTCCTTTTCAAGAGATTGGGTGATTATGGTGATCAGCGTGTTTTTGTTGTGGGTGTATTGTTGTGATAAGGGGAAGAGATGATCTGTCACTGTGATTGATGGGTGTCGTTAGCTGGTCTTTTTTGTGTAGTGATCATTGGTTCTTGTGGCTGGATAAAGTTTGTTGACCTTTTGCAGGCTGTATTTTTCAGTGCTGGGAGCTAGGCTTTGTGGAGTTTTAAACTTTCTTCTTTTTTGTTGAAGCTCTACTGGTGTTTGTGGATTTCGATGGCTTCCCAATGCAGTGTAACATAATGATTGCTGGTGTTGTCCAGTACAGTGGTGCCTCGCTTAACGAGTGCCCCGTACAGCGATGAATTCGCATAGCGATCCCTTTTCCGGGATTGCTAATGCGAAGGCATCGCATCGGCCCCAATGGGCGAAATTCGCATAGCGAAGATCGGTAAGCGTTTCGCTTACCGACCTTCGCTTTGCGACCTGCGAATCAGCTGTTCAGCGGGTCCAAAATGGCCACCGGAACACCTGAAATGGCCGCAGGGAGTGTTTTCGTGCCCTTGGTAAGCGAGGGGAGGGTGCGAAAACGCTGCGCGCGGCCATTTCGGGTGTCCGGCGCCCATTTTAGAACTGCCGAACAGCTGATCCGCGGGCATCACAAAGCGAAGATCGGTAAGCGAAACGCTTACCGATCGTCGCTATGCGAGTTTTGCCCATTGGAACGATCGGTATACCTCCGCATTAGCGATCCCGAAAAGGGGATCGCTATGCGGATTCATCGTTGTACAGTGCGCTCGTTAAGCGAGGCACCACTGTAGATAAAATACATAAAGTAAACCACAGAAGCCTCTGTGCTGCGAGGTCAGAAGACCAGCAGTCGTAATATCGGACCCACGTAATAGAGTGAGCTCCCGTTGCTTGTCCCAGCTCCTGCCAACCTAGCAGTTCGAAAGCATGTAAATGCAAGTAGATAACTAGGTACCACCACAGTGAGAAGGTAACAGCATTCCGTGTCTAGTCGTGCTGGTGACCATGGAAACTGTCTATAGACAAACACTGGTTCTACAGCTTGGAGATGGGGATGAGCACCGCACCCTAAAGTCGGACACAATTGGACTAAATGTCAAGGGGAACCTTTACCTTATACTAGTCAACGTGGTGGTGGAGAGAAAGTGGGCACTTTAGTGTGCTGTGCTGTAAGATCTTGTGACTTTTTGTGGTGGGCTTGAATACTGTTTGTAGGTTGTGTTTTTTCAAAAGTTTCCATGACCCCTTTGATGGATGGCAGAAATATTTTATTTGTGGGTGGCTGTTTTAACTTTTCAGTTTGGTATTGTTTCCTTGGTTTGATGGCTCTTTTGATTTCATTCTTGGAATAGCCATTTCCCTGTAGGGCCCAATTCAGATGGTTGAATTCGGTGCTGAGAAACTGAGCTTCACAGTTCCAATTTGCATGGTCTACCAGTGTTTTGATTATGCCTCTCTTTTGTCATGGGTGGTGGTTGGAGTTTTTGTGTAGGTTCTGTGTGGGTGGGTTTTCTGTAGACCTTGTGTCCCAATTGGAGGTCAGTTTTGCATATGAACATGACATCTGGGAAAGGGAGTTGGCCCTCTATTTCTTTTTCCATGGTAAATTGTATATTTGGGTGGATGCTGTTGAGATGGTTTAGAAATTCTTCCAGTTTTTCTTCACTGTGGTTCCAAATTGGTGAAGGTATCATCCACATATCGGATCCAGACTGTGGGTGCAAAGGGTGCTGAAGCCAGGGCCTGTTTTTCGAAATGTTCCATGTAGAAGTTTGCTAGAACTGGGCTGAGGAGGCTCCCCATGGCCACTCCATCTGTCTGTTCATAGAACTCGTATGAACCCGTAAAGTGCACCATCTTTGAATTCTATGTTTTTATGTATCAGGACATAATAAAAATCATCTGACCCTCAGTAGGTCTGAAAATGAGGTAAATATAACCTCAGATGAACAACAATACATGACATAATATACCATGTTATGATTTATTTAACAAAAAATAAAGCCAAGGTGTGAAAAACTAGGTATACCTAATAGCTTGTACTGTACAACCAACGTTAGCAACAATAAGTAATTTTTTGTATGACTTTATCAGTGTCTCACATTGTTGTGGAGGAATTTGGACTCACTCTTCTTTAAAAGTCCACATTTATTGTATTAGCTAAAAGCCGTCACAATTGTTTAAATACAGAAATGGTCAAATAAAAACATGATAAAAGCCGTCACTATTGTTTAAAATACAGAAGTGGTCAGATAAAATCATTCTAAAATCAAAGACATGTAAAATAATAAGAGACCCTTCATATCTGAGAATCTCCCACACAATTTTTCGCAATGGCTTTTAGAAAATTAGCTTGAATATTTCTGGCCGCTTTCGCGAACAGCGCTGTTCTATCTCTTCTTTACAATGTTGCTTTAGGTCATTGAGGTCTGTGGGCTTCTACTCGGCTCTCTTAAGGGCCCACCATAGCATTTCAATCAGGTTGAGGTTTGGACTTTGACTGGGCCATTGCAACACCTTGATTCTTTTCTTTTTCAGCCATTCTTTGTAGATATGCTGGTGTGCTTGTGATCTTTGTCCCATTGTATGACCCAATTTCAGCCAAGCTTTAGCTGTCAGATGACCTCACATTTGACTCTAGAATACTTCCCTAATTTTCAGACCTGATAAGGACCAGATGATTTTTATTATGTCCTTTTGTGTGAAACCATAGAATTCAAAGAGGGTGTACTTTCTTTTTCAATGACTATATATAGCTTGATGAGAAGCATTAGTGATCCCATTTTCCTTTCATTTTTCAAAGAATTACGGACACCTACAGAGACATGGTTCTCAGAAATTCTTTAATACTGTACAAGGATTTGCATTTAATTGGATTCCTAAATTCTAGGAAATTTGTTTCAGTGTCATCAGGCCACCATGTTCTTCTGCACCTTGCTACTGTTGCACTTGAATGTCCTAGCTCTGGTGCATTGTGTTTCTGGTAGCATCCAAACTTTCATGTCAATGTTAGCAGCAAAAAGAGATGGTTACTTATCAAACTGTGTCTGATTTTAAAGTTGTATATGCAGTTATGTAATGATTCTGAAACTATCTGTAATGGTAGAACCTTCTTTTGGATATATCAATT